GGTGGTGAGTTCTGGGGTGTCAGGGTTGGCCTCATGTACTGCACCAGGTATGGTCCCGTGGGATCGCGTCCTGTCCTTCGCTGCGGTTTCGCTGCCCCCGGTACCTGGCGTGATCCCCGGTGCGGGGTCGTAGCCCATTCGGGTGTGCGGGAGTGGTACCAGTGCTTCCTACTGGGGGGAACGGGGTGCTCCGTGCTTGGATCCTGAGGGTCCCTGGGGTCCTGCTGTCTCCTCGCTGGGGTGGTCGGCACGCCTTGGTTCGGGTTTGCAAGAGGGCCGGGCTGCAGCAGGGTTAACGCGTCGCATCAGGGAAATGCCTGTGGGAGCTGGTCTGTGCCCTCGGAGCAGCTCGGTCTTCCCTGATCAGAGAGGAGGCGAGGACAGGGAACTCGGGCGCTGCTTCGTCCAGCAGTGTGTCATGTCTGAAAGCTTCTGGCTTAGCAGCTGCTGCGCATTGAGCCCTTTGCAAGAGGATTACCTGTTCACAGGCAGCACTGGAAACAGAACGGAGGCAATTGAAGGGGCTTATTAAGTGTAGTGTAAATAATTCCTTTGCTCTGAATTGCTTCCACTTCCTAGAAATAGAGGAAGAGGAGAGGGTAGAGCTGTGGGAAGATGTCCAGAGGCAGAATCTAGTCTGAGAGGATGGGGAAAGGAGTCAGCCCCTGCACCTGCATAGGGCTGCCTACCTTGCACTGCTTGCTTCCTAGAGCTCAGTTTCCTTCCACCCCAGCTTGGAAGTATTTCCCTGCTCCCACCTTCAAAGCATCTGAAGTTCAAGACAGCCAATGCTAGCACAAAAAGGGAAACCTTCCTCTGCTGGCTGTGGGTTGGGCATCAGCAGACTGTCAAGTGCAGAAAGAGATGTCTGGGGCATTAAATGAGCTGAAAAAAATAATTTGCAAAAGCTCAGAGCTCAGCCTAATAGTAGGTATGAAAAGCTCTTACTATAGTTTGTAGCTTGGAAAAAAGCTCTAAGTGATGCAGATCACACTGGTTACTTTATGCCTCTTCCTTCTAAAAAATTGTGAATAACCAAGGCTTACTAAGAAATCTGTCTTCTCAGCAGTTATGAGAATCCAGCTGAATAAATTTCCCTGGGAAAAGATGCAGTGCGGATGGAACTGGCCCAAGTAAGAGGCTGCATTAATGTAAAGAAGGAAATGACCTATATAAAGCGTGTGTGAATAAAAACTTGGTAAAACCAGGTAGAGATGAGCAGAATGGTGTTAGCAGACAGGTGGATCTGCTGTCTGTCTTGTACAGCTGCCCTTGAGCTGAAAGGAGGCTGAAGGAGGCATTGCAGGAGCTAGCTGGTGGGTGTGTTGGGAAGCAAGCCCTGGCACATGTGCTTTAAATAAGCAGATGCCCTTGCTGAATGGATGCTGTGAAAGCCTGCTCAGAGCTGCTCTGTTGGTGTTGCAGGGTGGGGAGCTAGAGCACTGAATTGGATAGCGTAGATCTTGCTTTTTCTTGGCACAGGGCAGTAGTCAAGTACTAGAGCTGGCTGTGCGTGGTTTTGGCAGCTAGCACTCTGCCACGTCACGTGGCTGGTGGTCACTTCTAGTGCTGCTGGCTGGTCCAGCTCTGTGTGGTGGGAGCAGCTTTGGAGCCTGGCCTGCAGCCAAAGGGGGGATTTTTATTAAAGGAATACTGTGTTTAAGGTCAGCTGCAGCGTGGCTGACTTAAGAGGGATGTGCGCGAGAAATCTGTCCAGTAATTTGTCTGGAGCCAGGCCAAAGACTCTGCCAAAGGCATCCAGCCTAACCTCAGTGTAAGGGCAGGAGTGATAGGTATGGTGTTCTGGGAGCTGCCTGCCTGCAGAGGCAACTCCAGGGATACATCTGGCAAGGAGCTGGGTGGGAGCTGTTCTAGAGTGGGTGAATAGAGAGGGATGGTGCTGCATCCCTGGAGGAATGGGCTTGGTGCTGGCAGATGAGAGGTTATGGTGGAGGGGCACACGGCCTGCTCCTGCCAGGGAAAGGACTTGTTTCCAAAAGCTTGGTCAACCTGGAGTAGGTGAGTTGTGTTTGGCGGACTCCTGTGGCTATACAGGTGCTTCCCAGGGGCTCGATGGAAGCTTGAGGTGTGAACTCTGCTGGTGGTAAAGCCTGTGGGGCCATCTGAGCTGACATCTATTTTAAAGTGCAGTAGAAGGAAGAAAGGCTCTTCTGTAGGTGCAGAGTAATGTTGGCTAAATCTCTACCCTGCTGCTGTATGGGACTGTTGCTATCCTTATAATACCACTTGCAGGCATTTCAGATGGAGCAGTCCTGGGAGACAGTGACGAGCAAAGTATGTAGCTCAACCAAATGAGGGCTTTGTAGCCTCTAACAATACAGGAAACTTTTGAGTTTTATGAAAGGAGGGATCAGTTGCATGCAGCAGCTTGTGACACACTGAGTTTGTGCTCCTACAAAAGCATCCAATACCCTGGGGAAAGTCTCTCCTTGAGGGCAGTTAGCACAGCAGGCATACTGCTTTATGTAGTGTTGAAATTTGATAACTTCTGGGGCTTGTGGACATCAGCAGGACTGACCTATGGGCTCTGCTCTGGAGCCTGTTATTGCTAGCCTAGTAAAGCAGTGCCTGTGTGAGTCTTCAAATGGTAATTCTGCCCCTGTAGCAATTGCAACAGATCTTGTTCAAGGCACAGCAGGCTCTGCTTCTGCCAGTTGTGCTGTAGTACGTTTCTCACTGTGTATGTAAATCTTGCTGTGGAAGTACCTGCCTTCTTAAGCTTGAACTTGTGAGGTTGATGGAAGCAAGCTTCTTTGGGATGATGGGGGGAAGTGGTGTAACATTTGTGTGACAAAAGTCATGTTAAAATGCTTTTCTAACATCTACTCACCCTTCTTCTCATCTTCCAGAGTATTAGACTATTTTCCTCACAAGCAAGCAATGGCTGTGGATGTAGCAATGCAGCTATATCTTTGCTCTTCACCCTTGCGAAGAGACAAGTGTGCCTGCAAAATTGCTCCAAAGCCAAGCAAGCCACTGCGGCCCTGCATCCAGCTGAGCAGCAAAACTGCACTGACCGGACCAGAAGAGGCAGCAAACTCCTTCACACACAACAAAGTGAAGAAGAGGGTGTCGTTTGCAGATAGCAGAGGCTTTGCTCTGACGATGGTGAAGGTGTTCTCAGAGTTTGACGATCCACTAGATATTCCTTTCAACATTACCGAGCTGATAGACAATATTGTGAGTCTGACAACAGTGGAGAGGGACAGCTTTGTCCTAGATTTTGTTCAGCCTTCTGTGGACTACCTGGACTTCAGAAATCGCCTCCAGGTGGACTGTGTCTGCCTTGAAAACTGTATGCTAAAGGAGCGATCCATTGTGGGAACAGTGAAGGTGAGGAACCTTGCTTTTGAAAAGACTGTGAAGATCAGGATGACATTTGACACCTGGAAAACCTTTGTAGATTACCCATGCCAGTATGTCAAGGATACGTATGGAGGGTCAGATCGGGACACATTTTCCTTTGACATCAGCTTGCCTGAGGGAATTCAGTCCCATGAAAGAGTAGAGTTTGCCATCTCCTTTGAGTGTAATGGAAAGGTGTACTGGGACAGCAACAGGGGCACAAATTACAGGATCATACGGTCGGAACTGAAGTCTGCCCAGGAAGCTGCCTGCCCCCCCCAGGGCCCTGACTTCGGCAGTGCCTTTGACCAGTTTGGGAGCCCTCGGTGCTCCTACGGCCTCTTTCCTGAGTGGCCCAGCTATTCAGGCTATGAGAAGCTAGGGCCTTACTATTGACCCAAGGACAAAGTCCTGACTGACTAACTGTTGCTGGTGTGTCCACAGGCCTGGGAGCTGGTCTCAATGCGAGGTGTACGGAAAGGTGGAAGATGTATGGCTTCAGGCAGCTCTGCAAAAGCCTCTGAGCAAAACCAGTCATGGAATGCTCTGCTGGCAGTGGACTGAATAGCCAGGGAAGCATCTCTGGCACAAAGGGCTGCCTTCCCTGCCCCAGCTTGGATGACTGGCTCTCCAGATGCTCAAAGAACCAGGAGCTGTTGCTCATGTTTCTCTTCAGTGCTGCTACTCCCTGCCCTTCTATAAAGCTGCTAGTCTCCTGGGAAACACTACAGTGCTTATCACATGTCCAGACTATGTAGCAGCGGCCAATTTGTATTGCTTGCCTAGTGCTAAAAGGCTTTTTCAAAATATGTTCTATTATTATAGTTTTAGTGAGCTGTAATTCAGCTGCAGGGTTCTCCTTGCAAAGCTGGCCTGTGCCTGTCCAGTAATAGAGAGGTTGGCTTGCATGGAGTTGCATGTGTCCTTGTAGTGTGAGGTCCTTCCTACTGGAGCCAGAAAGGGTGCTTTGGAAGAGAAATTGCAACTGTGATGACAGGAAATGTGGTCTTGCAGTCTGCCGTATTAGGAGACGTGTGTGCCTGTGGGAGAGGATCTCATGCTTAGTCACCAGTTGTTTTATCAGCTGATCTCTAAAAACTCTCATGGTGTTACCAAAAATAGAGATTAGCTGTAGCTGCATGGTGCTTGTAACACAGCTGTGGGTTGACAACCTTGACTGACTTCTTAAACTTTCCTGGTTCTTTAATCACAAGTCATCAATGATGCTTTCTCCCCTTGATGGACATCTGAAATCAGCTGTTGGCCATGTTGGGCCCTGAAAATGCAGTTCTTCCTCCTGTGGACTGTAAAACAGGGCTTTGTCTGGCTGGGGCCCAGAGTCCTATGCAGGAAGCTGTGCTCAGGTGTTACAGGAGCTAAATGCAAATGGACCATGTAGCTACTCTGTGCTGTGTCCTGTTACAAGAAGGTAACTGTTGTGTCCCTACTATGGTGGAAGTGCCTTGACTGAGAAAGGGGTGGTATGCGTGATCCCAGCAATGTTTTGGGATAAGCAGGCTTTGGAAATGACACTGCTTTTAAAAAAGATCTCCTAATGGTTTGTTACAGCATGCCATGGACTGCTTGGCACTGCTTACATGCAAGGATGCTGTGGCTATACTGGATGAACATCAACATGCTGGGCTTCCCTTGCTGTTGTAGCAGTAGCTGCCATTTCAACCTGTAAATGCCCAAACTTTGCATCTTGGTGTCCATAAGAAGCAGCCCCACGTGTGCGAAGAACTAGCCATGAGGAATGTGAGATGTGGGGTCATCCTGACACCACCCTAGATGTGAAACAAGTCATGGATGTGAGCCATCCCTATCCTGAAAGAGGTGGCTCATCATCTGGGCCTGTGCTGAGGTGAGGTGGCCAGCTTGTGCAGTGCCAAGCAGCCTCACAAAGCTTCTGGCGTGCTAGTTGAGCAGAGTAACTTAATCCCTCATCTCAAAGCTAGAGTGCTCAATAGTTTGTAGAAATAGAGGTCACGGGAATCTTACTTTTTCTAGTGCATAAGCTTTATATAATTTTTGGGGTGCCTATAATAGCCTATGGATGGGCTGGAGGGAAGCAATGGGCTAGGCTTAGTCTTTTTAAACCCAGCTTTTAATTCTGGAGACTACTGTGTGAAATACTTACACACTGTTTTACCCTAACCTAGAAGGCATACTGTGATCACTGTTGGATGCTGAAAGGAAGAATACTTAGCCTTTAACTGCTGCTTTTTCAAAACCCAACATCAATGCACATCATCACTGTGCTTGATCACTTAGTCAAGGTGATGAGCTCTGAGCTAGCAAATAGATTTATCAGGCTTGTTTCTTCTGTTTAAACAGCTTCATGAGTCAGCCCTTAAAACCTGCATCAGGTCTCTCTTGAAGGGACTGTTGCCTAGATTGGCTTGATCCTTGTTTTAAACTTAAAGCAAGTCTGAGTGACACTGATTTTCTTTTCTTTTATTTTTTTTCTTTTTAGTGTAAGACACAGACTGTAGAAAAGTCATGTTCTCCTGGCATGTTCTCGTGCCTATGGAGAGCTGTATGTGAGCCGAAATGAGGCATGTATGTCTGGGGTGCTGTGGATGGTGGTATCTACTTATGAGGCCTGCTTGCTTTCAGGCTGGGGCTGGGGCATGCTTAGGGAGGAACATGGAAGATAAGCTAGAAGAGCAGTGCCATAAGTAAAAGCTAGGATGGGAACTGACTATTTGACCAATAGCAGTTTCAAAATACTGCGTGTGGCCTTTCCCCTTTTCCCTTTTTACATTGCCAATGTGAACATAGATGTGAGGGATTGCTCGCCTCGCTCTATGCCTGGAAGTGCCTTGTGGGGTGTTTTGCATGTTTTTAAAGATATTTTTGTACACAACATTCAAGTGGAAAAATGCACTTTATAATTGCCATGTAATGACTCTTTTAAAACTATGTTTCTGTTTTTATCTGATTGTTAAAATAAAGGTGGAACAAAATTTTGGCTGTGTATCTTGCAGTCATCTTATTTAAACACCCGTGGGACTGGGGAGGCGATTTGCACACAGGACTAGCTTCCTGCAAGTGGCTATTGGTGGGGAGGAGCACACATCCGCAGTGGACTCTGCTGCCTGAAACAGGAAAG